TACCTTGTCGCTGCAAGTGGGCAGTTAGACGTCTTGGAATGGTTATTCGAGAAGAGGCCCGGTGTTAGTGTCACTAACACTACTGGACTGCTAACTGTAGCTGCGGAACAAGGTCATCTTAATGTTGTGCAGTGGCTCATTGATTGCGACACCAAATCGCAACAACCAACGGATATCGAGGTTATTCAGGTACACACTAAACAAAGCTCACGGATTTGGGAGGAGAGGAAGGTTTGGCGATCGACATTGGTGCCGTGAATGGACATCTCGAGGTTGCGAAATATCTGCGTGCTCGTGCAGCCAGTCCAAGTGATTCCTTGCAGCGAGCGCAAGTTGGTTTTAAACAAGTACGGCAACTACAGGAAATCAGCAGGGAATGTGGTGGCGTGCTGGACGCCGCTGCAATACGTGGGAGAACAATTGCACTAGCTGTGTCTAATGGCCACCTCGATGTTGTCACGTGGCTGGTAGCAGAATACGGAGCTGATTCTGACACTAATCTGTTCGACTATGAAGAAAGTTTAACCTCGAGTGAGATCTTTGCAATGGATGGAGCTGCTATGGAAAAATGGACACTTGGATGTGGTGAGGTATTTACATGAACTTCGGATATCTCGGAAGCCACGACCTAAGAAACGAAAGAGAAATGAAGTGGCACAACTAACCCAGTCCAAAGTGCACTATCGCGGCGATGGATGGGGCTGCTGCTACTGGACATTGGAGGTAGTGCAATGGCTGCACGAGCACTGAGAAGTAGGTTGCTCCACTCACTCATGCCATGGATGCTGCGTCTGCTCATGGGCATCTAAATGTAGCGCGTTGGTTGTGGGAAAATCGACCAGAGGGTTGCACGACGGCAGCGGAGGATGCAGCGGCACATGGACGACTTGACGTTGTCCGGTATCTCGATTCCTGCGGCACCAATTGTACGGATGCTGCCATGGATACAGCAACGAGTAGTGGGCACCTGCAAGTGACTGAATAGTAACAGGGTGCAGGATGCACGATAAGCGCCATGGACGGAGCTGCTGCTAGAGGTGCGCTTGATGTCATAAATGGCTACATTCAAACTGTGTGGAAGGATGCACCGTGGCAGCGATGAATACTGCTGCGTGACTTCAATGTAGTACAACGGCTACAGTCACACCGTTCCGAGGGCTGCACAAAAGACGCGCTCGTTGGTGCTGCAAGTCGGGATTCTTCGAGCTGTTCTTCCATTACCACGCACAATTCATGAACAGATCCGCAGCTACTATTCTCGATGAAGATTACCCCGATCTTCATGCGTGCACTATGCGTCAATCGGAGCGGTGCGGTGAAAAGCGTAAAGTATTGCTTCCATACTCTGGGCTCCAGCAATTTACTACCAAGTACTTGTAATGTCTAAGCTTGCAACGCAACATTATTATTATTTTTAAATGGGACTAAATAATGAAATGCCTTTTATATTTTTTGCTAGCGGTGAACTTCAAAAACCAACAGTCCTCTCGAGATTCTGGTGGCTCAAGATTTGGATAGTGATATTGCAGCCACTCGTAATGTTCTCAGGCTACCACTTAAACACGCACTGTGAACAACCTCGATAGGCGCGCACGAATAAACGCCCAAGAACCGGTTGCTGCGTCCTTTGCGTCCATGTCATTTCATTATTACCAAGTTGGTATCGATACCGTTAACTCCATTACATGCGTTGTGCAGCTTCATCACGGGTATCATGTAGTCATCTATACTCTGTTAGAGTATGTATTTCCATATATTTTTCTTTTACCGCGGGTATCTGCTACAGTGCAAGTTGGTCAAGTACCAGATCGAAATTTCCGCTTGTTGGATCCGTCTTCGTCGTGCAAAACTACATTATGATGCAGATATGTTACGAGATAGAGAGAGATGCCTCGCTGCTGGAACGATGGTGTGCCTCCAGAGTCCCATCCCATTCTCGTGGAAATCTCGATCTCAAGATATTACCCTCAGGCTCGTCACTAAAGGACAAGGTCAAGGTGGCGCACCTGCATTGGTAGCTGCATCGTTTCCGCTGAGATCGAGTTGGAAAAAGCTTGATTCTGATCGTCATTGGGCGAATACATTAACAAGCGGCAACTTCCCGAGTGGGTGTAGGAGTTGTAAGGAGGCATATCAGGTGACTATGCGTTTTCTTTAATGAGTTTTGTGAGTGCGGTCGTACAAAGAAGAAGCCACGTATGAAACTACATATTCACCGCTAAGCCCCCGTATTGGGGGCAGATTCGTTCAACCAGATGTCATTCCTCGTGCTGTTAGAGAAGTGGATGGTTCAGCCAGTCTTGATTTGAACAAGGTGCGCTGACGTGTTCGATAACACCACGTCCGCTTATAACCATCATCCTTTGATCGGCCACGTACTAACAACGCCGAAAAGAGCCTAAATGCCCTTATTTTTAAGAGCTACTAAGAAAGTCGCTTTTTGACGCTAACGATCAATTCGCCCCGATCAAGCTCATATCTTTCGTGGGGACACAAGAGAGATGGGTAATGGTTGAACTTAAAAGTTTTGCAAGTTTTAGACTGCATTGCTCAGCAGCCTTCGCAACATGACCTACTTTAAGCAAATTCACGGGTTGTATGCACAGGGGCGTAATGACCCTCTTATCTACAGCAGTCAGTTTCTTTGAGACGGCCTGAATGATACAAGAGTGTTTAAAGGCAAAATGAGACACCGTTCGATTTCGATAGGTCAGTTTCGTAAGCTACAGTGCCCGAGAATTTCGAGCATGGCATGTTAACTGTGGAATGCGTTCAAGTACTGCAGATTAGTCAAACTCGAAAGTATTTGGATATTTAGTCTTTTAACGATGGATAACTATATGGCGGGTATCTACAGCGTTGGATACTCCCTGGAAAATCTTACTCTTGTCTCCGTTTTGATTTTGGTGTTCTCCTTTTCCTATCGACTGTGAAGACGTTATCTGCACCGGATGTATTTCCGGTGAGACCATATTTCCGATCACCCTTTCGATACGAATCCGAGTCAAAATACAAAAACTGTCTATAGTGTCTGGCCAATATCTGCGGAACTAATGAGCCAAATGAATTTGTAGCTTTGCCATATTCATTAAGCTTTGGTTTGGTGCTAAACTCGTTGGGTACCTCGATGTGTGACTCTAGATAATGCTAGAGAGTTTTCGCAGCTTTCCCATTCCTATTCCCACACATGTGTAAAATTTTGCAGGGACAAATCAAAGCAAAGCTTCAATTCTATGGGAGAATACTTTGTTTCCCGTAAACCCTATGGGAAGTTTTTCCATTCCTACAGACTGAACTTTCTGGAATGTTATTGGACAATTTCAAGTGTTTATATATGGGAAGACTTGCAAAAACTCTCTACTGTAGACCTGGTCCCATACAAAACCTAATTCACAAACATCATGGTGTATCATACCCAATCGTTTTTATTATAGGCTTTCAGACGGTTTGTGTCGGGAGTTGTATAAAACTGGCACGGATAGCGCGTTTATACCGGCTTTGATTGCGTGAGTTCTTTTCGATCAGTTTCTAATATTAAATAAGGCTTCCACGCCAGTATGAGCGCAGGCAGATGACGTAGCTAGATTTGCTCTAGAATTGGAACGGCAGCATCCCGCTTGAATTCAAGTTGGCAGCTTACGAGCTGTGGATCATAAACCGTAGAGATTACGAAGCGATGATCTGTAAACAGTAAGTATGATAAATTCGGTTATGTAACACTCAAGGACAGATTTGTAGGCAGGGATCATCTGTATATCAGGACAGTTGGCACACACTGCATACATGCTTCCGTAAAAATGACGTAAAAAAGAAAATGGTAACAATGCCTTTCGTCATTACTCCACTTTTTTGGATCAATACTGGACCCACTATTATTAACCCTTTCACTACTTCATGAGGGTTAAGTAGTTGATAATTTCAATTAACGTGCTCGCCCCAGTAGCCCCGCACATTTTGACCCGCCACAGTCGGTTCGAAGATTAGTCACAACAATAAACTCACTTTTATAATGGACAAATCTTGCTAGCGAAAAGTGGGGATTCCTTCCCTGAATCGCAGTTTCACCAATTATTCAGTCTTTAAAGTAGGCTTCAGCTGGTTCCGTGCACTCAGAGTTTAGTTCCGCGCACGATTTAAGGCATTGATTACTGTACATGTACACGTATACTTAAGCTACCTGGTACCGGTACTTCCACAAATCAGCAGCACAGCATATGCATGATAAAGGCACCTAACCTTCTTGTGCTACACTTTAGATCCCCACGTTTACCGATTTTTGTCGTAGTTCGTAATCCTCAAAGCTCGTAAGACCCGGATGTTTCAGCCAAGCCGGCCAAAGATGCCAGCTTTTTGCGTTTCAGTTCTCAATTCCCCACGGCTAGCACAGATCACTCACCGAGCTTCATCAACCGTCCACCTCTTCTGCACAAACATGAATTCTTGCGCTCTCACTCCGCCAAACTGCTCGACACTAAGCGACACCGTGATCGGCACTGTGATGCAGCGTTCGACGTGGATAACCCGTGGCAAAGAGTCTGCACCTGTTGCTGATACTAAACGCAATAGCGTCAATGTACACCCCAGACGCCATACGTACCGTCGTGCGCCGCACCAGAAATCGTTTCTGCCCTCCAAGGACGTCGCTAAGACCCCTGGCGAGACGCCCAAGAACACCGTACTATCATCACGTGTCGCCGACCTTATCGGACAGACTGGTTTATCGTCGGGTCGACGACG